TGCTTACCAGCTGTCTTGATCTAGTAACAGTGACCAAAAGAGGTCTCTAAAATGTTTCCTCTTCCTTCTCTGCTTTCTATTATTGACACCCATCCACCCATCCATCCATCCATCCATCCATCCATCCATCCATCCATCCATCCATCCATCCATCCATCCATCCATCTATCCATTGGTTTATTTTACTTTTCCCATGTCAAATTGTTTCACATATTCCCCATTCCAATTACCTAATTTAGAAGTAATCCCAAGAAACAAATGGTTTTGTACCTTTCTACATGCACAGAATAACATGATGATCTGTGCCTTTTTTATTTCTTAATACAGAGGCACCTCTTCCATGCTCAATCACACATTGCCAGAACATACAAACCCAATTATAAAATATGGCTTAATATATAAACTTAATTTGACTTTCCTTCTATTTTTATAGCCTCTTGAATGTTTAAATTTTTACTAATACACACACACATGCAAAACTTCATGCTATGTTTCTGTTACCTTCCCTTGAATAGTAGTCATCATAATTATGTCATATTCTCTATATATAACATCTAGTTTGCACCAGATGAAGTAACAGAATATCAAAAGGTCTCTTCTGTAGCTGTACTGAAATCTCAGAAGAGAAAAATGTAGGGAGAGGAAGAAAGAGATTAGGATGATAGAAAGAGGTGGGGGATAGGATTCTCTTTCTGAAGATTTATTAGCATAACTTGACATGTAGTTGAGAAACATGTGGATCAATACAACTCCAGTTCTCCTGTTAGGCCTCTGTGTCCACCATGTCTCTATTTGCATATTGCTTTTTCCTTAACTGACACTGTCAGGAAGCAACCTTGGCGTTTGCCCAAGCTCTCCAAAGCCCACTCACTCACTCACACTCACTCACACACACACATCATCGCCTCTCCCCTTACCAGATATAAAGTCTCTTTATGGTACATATCTCTTTATTCTCCCCCTCCTTCTCCCCTTTAAATGGCAAGCAGATTATTAGTATTAGAATTAGCACTAATATTAGTATTATGTTTAAACCTCTAACTAGGCATTGCCCTATTGAGGTTTGATGTAAGCCATTCTTTCTGTTTTCCCCTCCTTGGTACCCTGTCTGTGGGTTGGTCTGTCTATCTTTCTCTCGAGCTCTCTCTCTCCTCTCTTGCCTTCTGCTGTAAAGCCAGAGGCCATTGTTAACCGTGAACAGGGCGTACGGAGAGTATAGGGCAGTCAGAATCCTCAACATCTTCGGAAGGCTGTCGAGAATCTTGTGATTTCTCCCTCTTCTCACTTTCCCCCTCCTCCCCAAACGGGGGAGAGAGGGGGGGAGAGAGGGGGGAGAGAGAGGGAGAGAGAGAGAGAGAGAGAGAGAACCGAGCATCCCTCACCAGAGCTTCTATAGAGAGATTCCCCCCTCCCTTTGGCGTTATGACCGGATTTCTCTCTCTAGATATTCCTTGAACATTTTTTTTAACCAAGAGGAATGGGGGGAGCTCTCCTCGCTTATTGATTGCGTTGCTTGCTGGCTGCGAAAATATATTATGTCTGTTTGGTGTGCTGCTCTCGTCAGAGGCTAAGGTAAGGTGGACCGAAATAGGCTATCAGTTGTGAATGGCGGAGACCGTGTCTCCATGATTTATAGCTGTATGACTCGCATCGCGGTTCATGAAGAGTTCACAAGCTCTAAGCTTCCTTCCACGCAGCGACTCTCTCCCGCTCGCACGCTCTCTTCTCCTTCTTCTTCCCCCTCCTTCCCTTCCCTCCCCTTTTCTTCTACTCCCCTTTTGCTCTCTTTTTGCTATTCTTACTCCTTTATTTTCCCCCTCTTCATCCTTCCCTTTTTCACTTAAATTGTTTCTTTCTGTCTATCTCCTTTCCTCCTTCCCTTCTCTTTCTTTCTTTCTTTCTTTCCTTCCTTCCTTCCTTTCTTTCTTCCTTTTTTCCTAATCTAGGGTTTAGTGAATACAGTAGCTTTTTATTTTGAATTGTTATATTGTTCTATACTTATCATTACCATCTACTTTGGGAAACCAAGCTTTCAATTCAATCAGCAAAAAAAAAGCTGATTAATTTTATTCTAGCAGAGCAATATAATTATGATTTTCCCCACCCATTATAGAGGTTAAAGGGGAAAAGGTTATGGATTTTTCCACCTTGGCCTTAAAGCCCTCCTTCAGTTCTATCACAAGCTTTTGGACTCTTCAGCTTTTTTTTGTTTTTGTTTCTTTAAATATACTATATAAAAGATCTTTAAAAAAAAGAGGCGTTTGTTTTGAAATATCTTTGGGAATAAAAATGAAACTTCCAAGTGGGCAAGAAATAACTTCAGGGTTGTGGTTGACATTTCAACAACTAATTGCAAAGGCACGATCTGATTTCTCATTCATTATTCCAATGGATATTTCTCTCCGTATGTATGTGTGTGCATGTGTTTAACTACCACAACAATTCCTTAGAGTAAATCATTTACGATTCTACCCGTCTTAGACTAAGATAAATGACCGACATTTAGAAAGTGTTGAAAGATGAGGTATAAAAAGGGATCCAAATATTAGCTACTGAGTGCATAGACTACTTTGGGTTCCTTTTTTGGGTAAGAAAGGAGATTAATATTTTAAAGATGCAGCTTAATTTAAGCCATCAAAAGCTAATGAGCAAAAACCCTTTGGTGCCTATTTCTCCTAGGCCTTCCAGTGCTCCCAGAAAATCCAAAACAAACTGGGAGGGCCTAAAGAGAAGATAATAATGGCTGAGTCAGGGTACTCAACCTTCCGCTTCCATCACAGAATTTTTCCCTTTCTTCTTCAAACCATTTGGAGAACAGCGCTAAATTATCAGGTTTGCTAAGAAATATTTCCTGGATGCTGAATTGAGGGAGGACAGCTGCCCTAATTCTTTCCAGGAACACCTGGCCAAGGAAATTTTTTAGCTGCCTGTCTCTAGAGAGGAATGGCTACAGTTCCGAGGCTAGGGCAGATAATGAAGAGGAAGAGGTGAGATATATCATAGATTTTGAATTGAATCAGTGTAGGGAAGGTTGGTCTATTTGCTATTCCCTGACAATGGAAAGAACTGAGTGGTGCCTTTCAATACTATTGTTTATGCCCGAAAGGAAGAAAAATAGAAGGAAGCTCCCTGGATTGAAACAAAGCACAGAAGGGCTGAAGAGAGATAAAGAGAATTCCTTTCCACAGATCCATGTTTTGCTCTTTTAAATGTGTTATAGCTTTTATTATATTTATAAAATTAATTTTCCTAATGAAAGGAGTTTCCTCTTTCTTTGGGAAACCATATTACTTCTCATCTTAAATAAAATAAAATCCCAACATAAAGATAAAAGAGAAACAAAAGCAAGGAACCAAATGGCATTGTGAGAAAAACGGGATTTGTTTTGTTCAAAGAGCAGTTGAGAAATGGGCTGTAGCTGGGCTTTAGGAAAGAGAGAGGCCAGCTCACACCTTGAGCAGCATCAAGACAAAATTTTAAGGATTCAGGGAAGAGGAGTTTCCACAACCAATTTCAAATGCAGTCAGAGTTGCAAAAACAGCTTCAAAAGAACCAACATCAAAGAACTTGATCTCATTCCTCTTTTGAAAGCAGCAGATTAAGTAAATCGAATTTGAAAATATTTCAGAAGTGTAAAAATATTTTCAATATGTTAAATGTTGAATCTCAGAAGCATTTAAAGGTATGGTTAAATATAATTTTATCCAATTTATATTTAGGTTTGTTTTTCCAAAACTCCTCAATCCTGAATTGGGAAATATTATATTTAAATTTTGTAGGTGACAAACACTTGGTAGTTCAATGCGGGTGCCTGAGTTTTGTTAAAAAATAAGCAAATGCTACTGAAATTCATTCCAAATAAATTTGTCAAGTGACTTTCCCCTTTCTTTCATAATTTATCTGTAAGTAAATTCCACAGATTTCCGGAATTTTAACTTCCAAGCCCCCTCCCGTCCCTGTTTTCTTCGTCTTCATTCAGTCCCTCTAAAGAAGCGGTAGCGAAACTATTCGTTTCTTTGGCACGTGGAAATAAAATACCTGGCCCTTGCACTGGAGCAAGTGTGCGCGTGTGTGTGTAAAGGCTGGTGTGTAGAGAGGTAGCTGGATTCTACCCACGGCAGAGATTTTGGAGAATGGAGTTGAATAATCTAAAAGAAATCCTGCGACAGCGATTTCTTTCTCGGTCTACAGGATCTACATATGTAGGTAATGGTGTAGTTAAAACAAATAAGCAGACGAACAAAAACAACTGAACTTTAGAACAACAGAAGGGGGGAACGCCACTGAGGAATCGGTTTGGCGAATGGTTCGCCTGCACGAACCACCTTTGTGTATGTGCCAGTGTGTGTGTGTGTGTGTGTGTGTGTGTGTGTGTGTATTATATGTATATATCTAGAAATCTTAGCACGAGGGAGAGAGGCGAGGTGCATCTCACAGCACCCGGCAAAAAGCTGGCGGCGGCGGTGGCATCTGCTCCCTGCTCCCCGCCCTCCTCCGTAGCCGGCCAGCTATTCATGTCACGCGCTTTTCAGCCGCTAAGATGGATTCAGAGGCCGAGCCGTATCATTGTGTGTGCCTTCTAACCTTTCAGGTCATCTTCCAAAAGACACCGGGGGAAGGGAAGGCCCCTTGTCACGTGACCTGGGGGGTGCCAATGTTCTTCCATGAGAGGGCCAACAGGAGCCTGGTAACAGCGAGCGAGCGCCTCGGGGAACCCCAGCCATGCAGAAGACCAGCTACTACGATACCTCCCCGCTCTTTGGGGCTTATTCCTATCCCGGGGCCAACGGCTTTGGTTACGAGGGCCCTTCTCCGCAGCCTTTCCAGCCCGCGGCTCATGTGGAGAGCGATTACCAGCGGCCCGCCTGCACCCTCCAGTCTCTGGGCAACGCGGCCCCGCTGGCCAAGGCGAAGGACCTGAACGGGAGCTGCCTGCGCCCCAGCTTGCCTCAGGAGCATCACCCGCCCCCGCCCGTCTCACCACCCACCAACCCCATCACCGCCACCAGCGGGAGCGGCAGCACCACATCCAACAGCACCGGCGGCAGCAATAACCATAGCCAATCGGGGGCGGTCAAAAGTGTCCCAAGCAAATCCAGCCTGACCTCTAGTAACGCCGCCCTCACCAAGCAGATTTTCCCCTGGATGAAAGAGTCGAGGCAAAACGCCAAGCAGAAAAACAGCTCCCCCTGCGCAGGTATCTTCTGCTTTTGGAAATAGCCCCACATTTCCCATGCACCCACAGATAGTGCCCATTAATCCCACCCTGGCACATACACAAGCAAGCCCAGTTTAGTTATAGAAAGCTGGTGATGTGTACAAGAAAGAGAAGTGGTGAAGGAGTGCAAGCCAATGTAATATTTGCCTGTTTAAAAACCGGCAATGTTGGACGGTATGCCTGTTCTCCACTACTCCCATCCCCATCTGAAAGGTTTAGGCAGGGGGGCGGGCATCCTGCTTGGCCCTGGAAGAACATCATGGGACAGCAACCTGGGTGGAACTACAATCCACATCAGCAGAGTCATGCTAGCTCAGGATGATGGTGGTGCCCCTATTCTTCTGGATTAGAAGAAAGTTGGTGATTAAGATAGCTGAGGAAAAGGATCTGCTTGAAAATTAGATCTTGAGGGGGAAAGCTTGTTATTGAAGTGAGAAATGGCTTGCAACAAAGACAGGAATTTATCCCAGAGATACAGCTGAGAGTGCCAGAAGGGAAATAGAGCAAGGTATGGGTGCAGTAGGATTGATTTTGTGAATTGTGCATGAAGACAGAAGGGCTAAAGGTGGCAGTGGAGGAGCAAGAGGTTCCTCACTTCAGTTCTATGTATTAATAAATTCAACCCCCTTCCTACCTCCATTCCTTCAAAGGATTTGGATACTAATTACACATGATTAGTATCATCTACTTATATTGAAGTAATGGTCTGTCTCTCAGACCTACATCTATGCAGAGGTTCTGCCACTAATAAAACTGTGACTCAAAACACTTCCCTTTTTCATGGTCAGAATGTTAACTTCCATTAGTCCCAGCTGGTGGACGCAGTGTGGGTTTCTACATGTGAGATGGTCGTTCTGTAATGCTCTTTATTTAAAAAAAGAGAGACGAACATAAACCCCTTCTCTAAAGGTAAAAACACAATTGAATCTGAAAGCTTGCAGTTGTCTTTGTCTCATGACAGAGAGTCTTGCTGGTTTTGATGACTCTCCAAAGAGCTTCTATCCACCCTTCCACCATAGGGCCCTGTCATCTCTTTCCTCAGTCTGCTGGATGTAGAACATGTCTTCTTCAAACCAGACAGTCTGGGCAGAGCTGAGTTATGGTCTCCAGTTATAATGTCTGTTTTTTACACCTGACAAAATGTATTTCCATCAAAGTCCTGAGATGTGTGTTATACTCCATTTTATATGCCATTGGTTTAGCATGGATGCTCACTAATATCCAGCAGAGATTGTCTAATTTGTTGCAGGCATGAAAGCTACTGTTTCCCAATCTCCACCTTCTAATATTATATAAAATGTATTTTGTCCATGTATAATGTTGTCATTTAGTCCAAATCTTGCCTGGTAGGAAAAGAGCTTTGTTTGGGTTTTTTTGCTTGATATTTGAACTATAGAATTATTAGGGATAACAGGTTTTATAGAGGACAAAGTTTATAATAGCCACAAATGTCAATGGCTCCAGATTCATTTCTAAGCACGTTGGTGTCAAGATCCTAAATTCAAATAGAAACAAGTGAGAATAATGTTATTAGAACTCAAGTCTAAATATACCTAGGTTACAGTTCTTTTTTAAGTATACATTCTTTGAAGTCAGTAATGTTTCTTTCCTAATATAAATAATTTTATTTGACAATTAAACTTCTTGTAGCCAATTTGCTATACTAAGTGATTTTGAATCAGCAGCCCTATTCAAAGTTGTGTACTATGACACAGTTTAATTTGGATGAATAATTTGCACAAATGTGTTATTGCACAAAAGGTATAGAGCTAAGTCATGCTTGAATTAAGAGAGCAACCAGATTAATATGTTTGAGCATGTTAATATGGTCCTACTAAAAGGCAATAGCTGGAATCCCAGTGTGGCATCTATGTGCCTGGAGACATCACATCTGATAGACTTTTTACATTTAAAAAACCTTTCAATTAAAAATGAATTGGAAATTGGCATGCTGCATGAGCAAAGCACCATCCTCCAGCGTCACCTTTATTAACTCTAATGCCTTTGGGCCCCAATGGACTCCATTAGGTTGATTTATATATTTTTAAAGAAAATAAAAATGATAGGTGGCTGCAGCCCAGTACTATTTCTGGATGCATGTCCACTAGCCCAGAGTAAGGACAACAGCAAACAATGTTAAGTAGAGAGCACCCTACAGGGGAACAGCCACAGTGGATAGAGGGGTAGGTAACATTCTGATAAATCTGTATTGTTTTCCCCAATGGCAATCATTTGAGGAAAGAATAAATTCCCAAGTAGTCATTCTATGAGAGCACAGCATATTCTAAAATTCCAAATGTGCCAGTGAAAACAAAAGGTTGAAAACCCCTGAGGCAGATTATATTCTAATTTTCATATAATTCCTCTTGCATAATCTTTAAATTCTTGAATAAAAATTTGCAAATGTTGCATTGACTAAATATTGATGGAATGATACGTTAATAGAACAACTGTATGAATTACAGTTTCACACATGCCTATAATTCACAACTAAATGCAAGAGCTTCCTTCCTTCACTGAAAAATATACGTTTTAAGGAGATAACTTTGTAAATAGCTTCATAAACCACTTGCCCTGAAGGACTTGTGAACTCTCACCAACATTCACCAAATTTGCATTAACTTCATCCTCAAATTCTGCTTTTGTCCCATGTAAAAACATTTTCTTAAAACTCTTTCCCTTTCTTTAACTCTCTTTTCACTGCAAGAACACAGGGATTTTACCGTACATCACAACAGTGCAGGGAATGTTAACAAATTTATTCAACAGATATTAACTATGGCTTCAAATTATTTTTGGGTATAGTTTCTTAATTCATCCTGCAGTGGATAGACAATGGCTAAAATGATGATGATAAGGAAATTTCTTACAATGAAAAACACTTGCAAATAAGGCAGATAATAGGCGTATGGTTGAAGGGTGCTGAATTCTTGAGCAATAAAGTGGGGATTTTTTCATATCAGGTTGTATGTAGAAATCATTTGGAAAAACATACTTTTCATATTACACTTGCTTCTGTGATGCGGAATAAAAAAGATTTCTACAAGGGGGGGAGCTATTTATTATTAATGGCTCCCCCAATTGCAGTTTGAAATCATTAGTCCAGCTGCATTGCCTTAAATCTCTGTTAACATATTCTTTTGTATGTGTACCCTGGGTCTGAGTCTTTTTGCTTCACAGCCTATCTTTCTTGCAAGTCAGGATTGGAGGGTCGGGGAGCAATTCCCAGTTCCTTAAAAAACAAATACAATTCCCATTTACTTTAAAGCACAATGTAAATATCAGAATTTGTATTTGTAAGGAAAGCTTGCTTCCCTTCCCTAAATACATCTTTTGCATTTTTGATTGTAAATATTTTTGGACACAGTGCCATAAGAAGTTCTCTTATGCACCCCTTCCTTGGAATAAGTGGGAACTTGCAATGGGCTTGTGCCTTTCAAAAGTGCAGTGTGTGTTTGTGTGTGTGTGTGTTTGTGGGTTTGTGTGTGAGTATACCCTGGAAACAGACTTCTGAGTCACATCTCGCAAAGCAAGCAGGCACCCACTTTTGTGGACTAATTCAGATTAGCACACCAGGCGAACTACATGCAGGGCAGGTCTATCTACCTAGATGCTTCATTTTGCCTTGCTAACCTCGCCCACATAATTTCCTTTGAATGGGTCTGCTTCAAAATAATCGACTCCCAAATAAATTGCCCTGGATTTCTTTTCTGCATGACATGATCAAATTTTCATAAAGCGTGGGGCAGGTTTGGAGAACAGAACTCTTAATAAATGACATGATTATGGAGTGGGGACTGGGGGAGAGAGTGTAGCCTTCTTGCCCATAGGAGGATTTATTAAGAAGCCTGTGCATTCAATTTTCTGCATGTAAGTAATTATCTTTGATTTCATTTCCCGACCTTCTTTCCAGAAAGCTGCAGCGGTGAGAAAAGCCCTCCAGGCTCCTCAGCTTCCAAGAGGGCCCGCACAGCTTACACCAGTGCCCAGCTGGTCGAGTTGGAGAAGGAATTCCATTTCAACCGCTACCTTTGCAGACCCCGACGAGTGGAGATGGCTAACCTGTTAAACCTCAGTGAGCGGCAGATCAAGATCTGGTTCCAGAATCGGAGGATGAAATACAAAAAGGATCAAAAGTCAAAAGGCCTTGGGTCATCCTCTGGGGGACCTTCCCCCACAGGGAGCCCACCCCAAGCCCTTCAGTCCTCTGCAGGCTTCCTGAATGCCCTTCACCCCATGACTTCAAACTACGAAGCTCCATCTCCGCCCTCTTTCAACAAACCACACCAGAATGCCTATGCCATGCCCACTGCCTACCAAAACCCCATCAAAGGATGCCCCAGCCAACAGAAGTATGCCAACACAGCACCAGAGTATGATCCTCATGTCTTACAGGGTAATGGGAGTGGTAGCTATGGGCCCCCCAATATGCAAGGCAGCCCAGTCTACGTGGGTGGCAATTATGTGGATTCTATGCCCAACTCTGCTTCATCACTTTATGGGCTGAACCCCCTCCAACATCACCAGCCCCCCAGCATGGAATACAATGGAGGCCCTCAGATGGCCTCCAACCAGCACCATGGGCCTTGTGAGGCTCACCCAACCTATACGGACCTTTCTTCTCACCATGCTTCTACTCAGGGTAGAATCCAAGAGGCACCGAAGCTGACCCATCTGTGATGAAAAGTAGGGCAGACTCGGTGGGGAATTAATAAAGAAGGGAGGTGGATGTGGGATTGGTGAGTCAGGGGACAGACTGGTTATGCAAAAAGAAATGGACAAACAAACATTTGTGTTGAAACCCTTTAGGGAAGTCAAACCTATTGTTTCAGGGGCACAGTTTATGCATGCTGTGTCTTGCCATTCCCGCCAAATTTGACCCTAGGGTGATAAAGAATTTAGGAGGCTTATGGCTAAGCCATACTCTTTGGAGTAGAAGTATTCCTGTACATTCCCCTCTCAAAGAAAGGTGAAAGCACCTGACAGCCTAGTGCCCTTCATATGGTTAGATTGAAATGAACAAATCCTAGAGATCAGCCCCTGTTGAGCTCTAAAAGACCTGTTGTAAATCCAGGCTAGGAATGGTTAGATTAATGCAACCCCAAAGTGCAAAAAAAGGTCTATAAAGACTATAGGAATCCATTCCCTTTTCTTCAGTATGAGAAGTTACTTTGAAAAATGCATCTTAAACACACACTGTCTTTTGTGTTCTAGTCCAGTTTAGGCAGAGGGGGAGGGGTCAGTGTAAACTTGCTCTTTCTTGGATCCACAACTCTTGTTGGTTTTGTGAATACACATGTGGGAACCATGTTTTTAACCAGTCATGATAACATCATGAATGGAGCAGCACATTTTCATGAGATACAGACTTTCCACAGGCAGGTAGAGCATTTCTTCAATCTAAAGAAAAGCTGAAGAACTGACTCAGCTCAGCTCACTATATATACCATAGGAAATTAACTTCAGCCTATTTTCTTTTCTTAAAAGTATGCAAATATTTTGTTTATAATTAGAGAAGGGTATATAGGTGTTTGGAGACAATCAACCATGCAGGAACATACAGGTACACACATACACACTCAGAGGGATTCAGTCAAATTTATTTTGATAAGGGGAAAAGGAAGATGTTACGAGTGAATTTCATCCCTTTAAAAAAAAAATCAAGAATCTGTTTCAGATTTGTATTTTACATATGTATTTGCCCTGAGGTTTCGACACAAATGTTTTGAATGTATAAAAATGTCCTGATTCTTCTGAAATCAATTGAAATAGATAATTTCTGTTACATTTTTTAAAAAAAAGTTCATACAACATGCACAAAAAGATCTGGGTGTAGCTCTTAAATGCACCTCAATATTTCTTATATCTATGCCCTTCTCCCTTAGCTAAATACTAATCTATCACAATTCTTAAAGGTTTATTTTACAAAGAAGAAAGATAATTCTAAGGTATTGAATGGAAAACTGTCTTTTTCCATTCTTGGTGTATCTCCATTCATGTAAGGGTGTTTTGTCCAGTTTTACCAACCCAATCCTTACAAATTATTATTCACTGCTATATTCCCTTCCCTCTTCTTTAATTCTATGAGAGGTTTTGTTTTTCAGAAATGAGCAGTGGAGTGGTTTCTTTACCAAGTAAATTTAATAGCAAAATTAAGATTGCTTATACAAATAGAAATCTAACATCTGGAAGGAGAAAAATAGAGACCCCCCCTTTGTTCTTCCAATGATTACCTACCCTTCTTTATGATTTTGGTTTTAAGGTTGGTTAAGGTCTGGGGTACTCTCTCACATATATAATATGTCTTTGCATTTGTCTGCATAACTTCTGTTGAACGTGAAAACAGGGTATATTTGATCAGAAACTTATGTCCTCCAAATGGGAGCAAAGTAAAAGATCCTTTGGGGAGAGGATTCCTTTACTGGTGCCTCTTCTTTGGCCTGACATTCTTTCTTGCACTTAGAGTTTACATTTTAATGGCTATATATACCAACGTTTGAAGGACACACATTGGAATACTAATTTCAGTGGAGGTGTGCCATGTTCCAGTAAACATTCATATATATAAATATATAAATATATATTATATTATATTATATTTATTGGTTATAGCCAGTTTTAAACTATTTTTTTCTTTTGTTGCATTATTTATCCCCAACATTTATGTATTTATAAGGAAAATGTACTTTTTTTTTAGTATTGACTTGTTATAAAGGACAATGGTGTCTTTTCTTTGTCATTGTACAACCAAATTTTATTTTCCATTCTTCCTGCTCTCTCTGTTCTTTTTTAGTTATTGTAATTTAGGGAAAAGGCCAGTAGTTACCTTCGTACTTAAAATGTGTTTAGTTCTACTGGAGGCATGAAATCAGGCTGTAATTGTATAGTCCTCAGTTAGAAGAACTAGCTAATCCCCACCCCACCTAATTCTCCTCTTCCTTCACTACCACTTCCTTCTCTTTTTTGAAGCATCTTCCTTTGTTCTTTACAGTAGATAAGTTTATTTCTTTGCTGAAAGGGTTGTCTGTTGAACAATTCTTCAATAAACTTTCTGTTCTTAATTTATTCTTGTCCCATTTGTCAGATTTGAAAACAGGAAGGAAAATAAGGTATCAAATAGAATGAAGATGTTCAATTTAAAAAAAAAATAGATTTCTACATTTTTCAGCCATTAATGAGAAAGGCATTTATCTGTCTTATCCGACCTTCTTTGATTCTGTTTATTCTTTTGGTTATGACAGCCACTGCTTTATTTTAGAGCTCATAAAATGAGGACTTTTCCCAGCTGATTATAATTGTTTTAAAAGTTAATCATTGGGGGGTGATTTCCCTCCCCCTCCCCCCACAATGACCCCAGTCTCCCCCCATCCACTTGAAAAATCTTGTTCTAAGTAGTCTCACGCCAATTAAAATTACCCTTCATCTTCTGCACATACAAAGAAGGGTGATCACGTGCTGTCCAGACTAAAGAGCCATTGGGCCTAAAATGAAAACAAAGGAAAATGATTAATCATAACAAAAGGCACACAGGCTTTCTTGCTGAAATTAAGAGTGAGTGGGGGAGAACTTATTGTGACATTAAACCACTAAGTAAAGCAAGAAAGGAGTTGAAAGCAGATGCTGTTTGGAGCATTGAAAGTTAGGTGGGGGGGAAGGTGCTTAAAATAGAGTCAGATAAGAATTAAACTTGGCTTAATCTGCCTTTTAAACTCCCAGCCTAGATGAGAATTTACTCTTTTCCAAACTCTTATGAGACTAGAGACTGATGTGAATGCCCTGTCAAATTAGAATGTTATGTTTTTGTGGCAGAAGAATAATTCAGATTGTAAAAAAATTACTAAAGAAAAGAGCTATTATTAAGAAGAAGATGCTTTGTTAATTCTGCCATTCTAGAAAGTGTGACAATGGGGCCTTGAAGGCAGAATTTGGGGGCAGAAGGTCACCTCACCTGCATGATCTGCAAGAGGATCCCCAAAACACTGCAAAGCTGGTTTATCACATGCTGAAATCAACAAGAGAATTGGATTGGGATTAAGTTCAGGACTACCCTCCAAAACTGTTAAGCCCAGAGATTCTAAAATTCTAGTATCAACTAGAAAGTTTGTAGATTGTTGCCATCACTGCTGTTCTTCTATAGTATATTTTTAAATCATAGCTATCCTCTGTGACTAAAGTCAGGCTTTTGCCTTGCACTTATGAAATCTCTTGTGGGAGAGAAGAAGCTGAACATTTCATTCTGAATCTTGTTCTTTACTGGATTTGGCAAGTGGAAATAATTTTGTGTTTGGGGAATTTATGAGTGGAAGTATTTTTTAAACTCAGTATAGTAAATGTGGGGATTTCATTTGTGCAACATCTATGACCCTCCCTGTTCAAAGTTATTTGTGTGATCTCTTGATAGACCTCTGCACTTAGAGTATATTTCCTAAAGTAAAAACATAATGTAAGTTAATGTTCCTGTTAGAAAGGACAGTTGGGAATTGAAGTGGGTTTTCTGTGGTACATCCCACTGTTTGTTGGATGGTATAAAGAATCACATAGTACTTCTATGAATGTTCTAACCTTGAAGTTTAATTTCAAAAACCTTTTGCCAAGCAAGCAATTGAGACCTTGGGCAAAAAGGATCTGTGTCTTCATTGGCAAGCCTATTGTCCAAGGAGGAAAATGAAAGGAGTGAGTCAGAAGCAGTGAGAATGATGACTCCACCCACTTCTTGATTCAACTCCATCCCTTGAGGTAGTGGAATGTGGCCACATAGAGGAATATTCTCCAGCAGAACAAAATGCCTGTTTATCTTTGGTCCTAAAAGTCTAATTGGAATATTGCATATTCACTGGCTGAGTTAGAAAGGCATAACCAAATCAGTTGGCAATATGCTAACATTGGTTAGGATAAGTTTATGTATGAGCAGTTTTGAGAACCAAATCTGTTGGGTTAGTCTAAAATTCAATGTCCTGCATGAAGCTAGAAAATGAGTGAATTCAGTAGTGACTTTGGGTATGTTGATTGAAGACAGCTATTCTGGTATTGGTTTTAGTGAGCTGATACTACATATTTCCTGTAACAATCATATGCCATTGTTTTGTTCCCATCCCATTAAGTCAATCACTGTCTGTAATAATTCTGTACAGGAGGAAACGTAACTTTGTAAATCAAGTGCTGGAAAACAGTAGAAGAAGACTGAGCAATGGGAACATCTGCTTAGCCATTATAGAATAAAAGATGGTCAACTAATTAGATGCAACAGGATTTTTTTCTCTAATGTAGCTGATTAATACCAGTTTTAGAGAAAGGCATTTATCCAACTTCAGACTTGAGACTGTACTATCTCAGTAGGATGAATTGTAAATGAATTGTATGTTCTTTGATTTTATGAAGACATGTTGTAGGCCCCAATAGTACTGTTTTATGGACCTGCAACTATTTGTACTTCCCCCATGCCATAGAAATAAAGTATATAGGGTGGAACCATCTTAGCTGAATTCAGGTTGTGAATTCTTTTTGCAATAGCATCACTTGCTTCTAAAAGTTTTATGGGAAGGAACCAAGGCATTTGCCACAGCATTCTCCAACATGATTTGTTGGACTGTAGTGCACATGAATCATACTGGTCACATTAATACAGAGATAGCGTACTTGCTACAGTGTGTTGGCCATAAGTAAATATTTGCCCATATTTAAAAAAGGCTTCATCACATTGTCCATGCACATGCTATGTGAGCTACCTCATATGCTAAATATGTCGAAAAACTGTTACTCTGCAGATATTTTTGGTATCAGGTGAGATAAAATATATATAGGACAAAGAGACCATAGACCAGGTTCATAGAATTTTCTTCCTGCACTTCATTAACTTCTTACTGGAGTCAACAAGACTGGCTTGTCATAATTCTCCCTAGTCTATAGCTTCTTAGAAAGGCTGCTGCATATTGCTTTAAATTACAGTGGATTGTTTATTGTAGTACAGTATAAATGTGATTTCAATTTGCTGTCAACTGAACTCCAAAGCAGTTTCATTGTCTTCAGCAGGATGACTTGAGACATTCTAGATGGCAACACTATTCTCACAGCTTTAAAGACATATCTTTGCATTCATTGTTGGTCTGTAGCTCTATCTTTAATGAATGTGAGGAGGAGAAAAATAGATTGCTTCTACAAACAGGCATGAATTCCAGGTCAGAGGGACTTAAAAAAATATTTGATTTTGTTTTGTTGGTATATTAAGTTCCACTGATAATTAAAGCTTTCATGCAATCATAAATAACATTTTTTAAAGCACCCGAAGCACCCTTTCTTGCATTCATGGTTGTAGCTGGGTTATGCTCATCCATCCAAGAAGTAATTTAATATTCTGTGGTGCTGTAATTTAAAAGCATAAGAGCGTGGAAAGTTTGATTGGGATCTGATCAAGCAACAATAGTCAAGAATGCAGTATCTCCCCTCCCCCACTATCATTTCCCTGTCTGTGATTTTATGGATGATTTAACAGAACTAAAATATTGGCCCCTGTGTTATTCAGACCTTTGTGAAAGGGTTTCCTCAAATAAATTATTCTAGCAAAAAGAGCTACTTCCTGACAAGCTACTACAAGAAATAAATCTTAGGGAGTAATAGTGCATTCTTTATCTTATATTAGTACTGCCACCATTATATACAAATAAAGAAAGTTTCATTATGCTCAAAAACAGCTTTCAAAATCAAGAATTCAGTATCAGATTATACATTTAAAATCAGTATTATTTTATGTGGGGGTACCTCATATTCTCAGACACATTGAATTAAATATGTCAAATAGGAAAAACACTTTACTATTTCTAATACTTACATATTGATATTTTAGCAACTAACATTCCTATATTCAGAAGTAATTCCTATCTATTAAAAGGCAGCCTGTTTCAAAATATTCAGGTCAAAGTTAATTGGCCAGAAAATTCTAATTTTTGACAATACCAAGAAAACTCACCTTTTAGCCATACCTTCACCAGTTAAAAAAATTCCCTCCCCTGCATTTTTGGTACATTTTTTTCAACAGATTTTCTCTATATTTAGTTGAATAAGCTAATATCAAAATCCCATGTAAACAGATACTGAGAGCTAGAATTTTTAAGATCTTCTCCTCCCCATATATTAAAAACAATGGCAAGTGTTGTAAAAACAAAAATGCTTTCAGAAAAAAATGTTCAAATTTACTTTTCTTCTTAGCATTCAGGGATTTTATACCCCATATCACTTGACTTTCATCAATTCTATTTTTCAATATTTATATTTTTAAAAATATGCACTGATTTACAAAATACACTCTTCTTTCATTCATAAAACTAACTTTTCTCAGTGAAATATTTATTTATATATTTATTTTTAAACTTTCTAGCCATCCTAAAGTTATAGCTTTTAGGGCAACATACAGTTTAAAGAAAACTCTAGGTCATACACATACAGTAGATGATACCAATCCACTGGAATAGTTTATAAAAGCATCAAAGATTTAAAATAACCAGAATTTAACTATTGAAAGCAACAGAACAGAAATTAAAAGACCATGAAAAATAGCAGAGTAGAATCAGATGGATCTTAATGGGGAGAATATTGCAAAGCTGGAAGGGACTTCCATTAAGGCTTCAGCATGTGAGGATACCTGGAGCAGGATCTCTCATGATAATCTCAGGGTTGGGGCAGAATTTATGGCAAGTTAGTTATATTAGATCCAACCATCTCTGTATCTGTGTTTAAAACATCAATTCATATAATCTTGCATCTGTATTACTACAAAACATTATTCATAATCACTTCAGATAAACCAGACAGACCAACAAAGTCAGTGGTTTTTAGTTGAAAGCAATAAATGGCACTAATATCAGCAGTGCAAATGCAGCTATATCAAATATGATCAGCTAATGGACTTTATATGGAAAGAAGGTGTTCATTCATAGCATGAAAGTGAATTGAAGATGAAATTCTGTTGGCAACTTCTCTGCAGACTAAACTCAAGCACTGAAAGGAAACTTACAAATACACTGATTTGTTTCTTTTTTTTTACCCCAGCTTAATGCTTTAACAGTCTAATATAAATAGAAACATTCATTTTTTTACATTGCGTCCCTTTCCAATTTGGAGGTTGTAACATAATCAAAAGTTAGAAGATATTTAATTAAATAATAACCCCAAATAAAATAATTTTACAAAGATGACTGTCACTTGTGAAATGTAGAGAATAGATAATAAAATAACATTGCTACTCAGATCCATTGCTCTATTGAAGTGGCATCCATTTCAATGGAATCTTTATTCTCAAATATGATGGTTTAAAAAAAGAATAGGATTGAATCATGAGCAATGTTTCCCAAAATAAAATACATGTCATAATTTGGGGCTTCCAAATGACATTTTCATTACAGATTTTAAATACTTAAAATTTAACAGTTCTACAAATCATAGCAGCGCAAACACCTTACAAACTACTGAATTATTTTTGCGTTTGCCAATAATATTAATTATTTACAGTACTGCAGTTTTCAGAACCCATCTGAAGTCTTCCCACATAGGCTTTTGGAAATATTTTTCCTCTCTTAATTTTTTCTCAGATTTAAGATTTTCATCCCATATGGATGTTTGAAATGTTCTAAGTTTTGCCTCTTCCCATCTCTATTTTTTACTGTTTCTGAGGCTAGAGAGAAATGCAGCTTGAATAAACAAATGGTAAACAACATTTTAGGTTCTCAGATACTCTTTGGTATTTATCTTTCTTAACCTCATCTCAATTTCCCATCCATGAACCTTCAAACTATTTTATTTAGTACCTTTACCAATCAAGTCCAAATTTTTGAAAAAAAATCTTCTTTCAGAAATTCTGATAAACATCCAAATTCTTTTAGAAGTAAGCAAAGGCTCGGCTGCCTGTCAGAAGTCTTTGGTGAGAAAAGATTGATCACTTTCCTCTCCCCCTCAATCCCTGCTCTTTACTTGCTCAGTTTGTGGGCAACTTTTAAAAAGAGGATGGGGGTGGAGGCCTACAAACATTCTTAGATACATCCTTAAGAACCAGTTTTGGTATTCGAAGAAAAGCATTTAAAATTAAGTTGACGATCCCAGAAAATATTCATTTGAGAGGAGAAAAGTGATAAACTATGGGGAGAGTTATTCTTTCCTGTATTCTTAAAGAAGCTTTTTAAAAATAGGTCCTAGATTACTAACTCACATCTTTTCCCATCATCTCAAAAATTCCAAGGTCTGCTCTAGAATGCATTATCAGAAACAATTTCCAAAGTCCTTTCATACAGATTTGAATTAGGCAGTTTGGAATATTTTTAATTTAAATCAGCTGTTTCACATGAGTTTGTTTCTCACTGTTTCAGTAAGGCTGGTTGTTGAATGAGAAGGGTCTTTATAATAAGGGGATATTTCTTCTGTATACCTTTCCTGTCTTTCAACACCCTTTCCCCCCTCTTCATTCTTTCTTTTGCGTTAGGCCTATCACCCAGGCCATTTGCCAGATAAACTTAAAAGACAAATTGTAACTAAATTGTCACTACCTGCTCATACTCTCCCCCACTATTGCCTTCTCAGTCAAACCTTAAGAAGCATCTTCCTCTGGATTTAGCTTTTTAAATCAGGACAAGAAATCTTCAAGCATGACAAGTGGGAGTATTATTGCTGTTATTATTGTCATGGTTGCAATTATTAGGTATGAGGGGGGGTCCTAACCCTCTGTTTTCAACTAGAATGGCCCTGCTATTGGGCTAGCCAGGTCATGTGATGAGAAATTGGCTGCAATTTATCCCTGCTCGTCAGTTTAATAGAGCAAGGTCCCCATACGCCTGTTTTATCAGCAATATAAGATATTAAAAAATAAAAAATAAAAAGGTGGGTAGAAAAGGGGGAGGAGACTGCAAATAATACTTACACTAAAAAGGATATAAAATATTGAAAGGGCCTGAAAGATCCAGCGTTCCTTCCCCACCCACCCACCCGCATCCCCCGCCCCCTCCTTTTACACTGGGCCTCTGGAAAAAGCCATGAATTTTGAATTTGAGAGGGAGATAGGCTTCATAAACAGCCAGCCATCGCTAGCGGAGTGTCTGACGTCCCTTCCCGCTGTCCTGGAGACATTTCAAACTTCATCAATCAAGGAACCACCGACGTTAATTCCTCCTCCTTTGGAACAAACCCTCCTCGGCTTGGATCCTTGTTCCAGCAGCCAGCCTGCACTGAGGAGCCAAAAGAAAGCAAGGCATGGGCAGGCCCAGAAAGCCACGCTCCAGTCTTCTGCTCTGGGTGGAGAATTCCCCTGGATGAAGGAGAAGAAATCTTTTAAGAAAGCTAACCAGATCCCTGCCTCTTTGTCTCCCTCCTCTTCTGTGCCTGGATTTGTCCCGGCTTCTCCTGCAGGTCTGTAAAAAGGTGGGGGCTGGGGTGGGGAGGGTGGCTGACAGGGTGGAGGGAAGAGACAAAAAAATCTGCTATTTAAGAATCACTTGGAGAAAGGGGCAAAGGAATATCCGTCTTCCGTTTCTAATCTTAATTACTGAAATATTAGGACGAATCCATCCTTCCTTCCTTCCTTCCTTCCTTCCTTCCTTCCTTCCTTCCTTCCTTCCTTCCTTCCTTCCTTCCTTCCTTCCTTCCTTCCTTCCTTCCCTCCCTCCCTCCCTTCCCTTCCCTTCCCTTCCCTTCCCTTCCCTTCACATCGTTTTTATTCCTCTTGTATGGCATCTTCCTCTGTGATGGTGTTTAGACGGTTGATTCCAGGGATAAGAACGGAAGGCAATTTGGCTGCTGTGTTTTGGGAAGCATGGGGAATGGCATTGGCTATAAACTGCTCTGCTTCTATTTCCAGTGTAACAGAACGAGGAACAGAAAGAAGGCAGAAAGGAAAACCCAAAGTCTCCCCCCCCCCATTTCCCTCTACAGTTCACCGAAGGAACCCTTCTTTAGGCAACCAGTGCAATGCTCCAAGGTTGAAACTAATGTCCCTCATCTACTAACCAACCTAATCAACCCATCTCTATCGTGATGCCTTGAAGAAGGCAGGGTTTTGCAGGAGATATGATTCTAAGGACCTGGTCGAAAATCCCACCCCCCAAAAAATCTGCTAGTGGACAGGAGAAGGCAGCTTTTGGGGCTTTTCATTTTTTAGGTTGGTAATAGGGAGATAAATCTTTCAAGACATGCTGCCTTTTTTTCTCTGCTTTCTGTTTTTCTTATTCATAGTTTGTGTTATTTGCTTACCTAGAGTTCGTTTTCGGTCATTTAGTTATGAATAGCCTCCTCTTACACACATATATACTATAGGCAAAGTACAAAGGAAAGGATAAGACACAGCGAATAAACATCCACTCCTGAATGTGGATTCCTCTATAACTGAAGGCAGCTTTTCCAGAATGCACCCCACCACCACCACTTTAAGTCCGTATAGGCATTTGGCATTAAGACCAAACCATTTTGCCTTGTGTGTCCCTGGGTACACAGGCACTGCGAGTCGAGGAGGATTATGCCCAACAAAATTTAGCAATATGCCCAAACAATTTAAAATGACTCTCTCCCCTCCGCCTTCCAATACAAGCAGCCCAACATCCACCCCCATCCCCGCTAAGAAAAAAACAGAGACGGGATTATTCGTTTAGCCGGTTGTATTACTTTGTGTAATTTTGCTGTTTTTCTCCTCCAGACGCGTGTTTAGACCACAGCGAAAAAGCTTCCCGACGGCTGAGGACGGCTTATACCAACACGCAGCTCTTGGAGTTGGAGAAGGAGTTCCATTTTAACAAATACCTCTGCAGACCCCGCCGGGTGGAGATCGCGGCTTTGCTGGACTTGACCGAAAGGCAAGTGAAGGTCTGGTTCCAGAACCGTCGGATGAAGCACAAGAGGCAAACGCAGCACAGTGCAGATCCCGCCGAAGAGGACCAAGGCAGCAACCAGGAAACAGGGGAAGCCGAGAACGGCAGCTCTTCCTGCAGAGAAGCGCGGAAGATGCCTTGTCCCTACCCAGCCGGCAGTCACAACAGAGAGAGTCGGAGTGCTCCAGCGCCTTACCCGACGCTCAGCCAGAGCAGAGCTCCGGCCGCAGAGCTCGGCGGAACCGCCGGCGCTCGCACTCTCTCCTCTTGCTCGTCCTCCTGTTCTGGCTCCTCGCCGGGCAACGGGTTCCCGGAAAGTCAGAGATCCCCTTTGCTGCCGCTGGACCCGAGCGGCTTCTCGGCGAATTCCTGCCCACAGGCCGCAGGAGAGCTTTCACCCAGCCTCCAGGGCTGTGCAGATAGCCCTTTAAGTTTCTCCCTAGAAGACCTAGACTTTTTTACCAGCACGCTGTGTGCGTTGGATTTGCCCCATTTCAATTTTCAGTAACCTCTCGAACCTCCAATTTATTATTTGCCTTGGGTAATATACCCCTATAATTAATACAAAGTGTATGCACATACCAGTTATGCCCAGTTAAGTGCAGTCATTTCAAACCTTTTAACCATGAAACTCCTCTTTTTCCCCCTCGGTACTCCTTGGGGAAGGACGTTTCTTTAGAGAGAAAGGTGTATCTCTTTTGTGAAATGATCACATTAAATTATTTCGATCATTTTTTTTCCAAAGGAAATTTATATTTAAATAACATTCGGATTTTCCTTTATTCCACACTCCATAATGCATTATGGAGCATTTGAGGTCAAGTAGGTGCTCTAAGTGTTAAAAATACAACATAATTGTATAAGGAGGTTTTGTTTTTCAGCTCAAAAAATTATGCCCTTTAGAGTTTGAAATATTTCAAACATCAGGTTTTTTCTTCTCCCAAACTGTGTTTCAACCACCACCACCCCAATCCCATTTTGATAGAGTAGATATTAATAAATGCAGAACAAGAAAAAAATGTCCTAATGAAATTCTCAGGAATCAAGACATTTATGTCTTAATAAAATAAAATACAGACAGACAGACAGAAAGAAAGACAAACAGAAAGACAGAAAGAAAGAATGAATTACCATTACCTTTTAGAAGTAGATTATTTATTTAAATGTTTTAATAATAAAATGCAAATTATTTATTGTACATTATTTTCATAGATTAAATAAACGGCTTTATAGTCTCTAAAATGCCGCATTCTTGTTTTATAGGCATTGAAAGAAAGAATCTAGTTTAGCTTTCTATACTGTTAGTTCATTGAGATTTTATTCTTAGCAGTGTTTTAAGAATTAAGGTGTAATATAAATTAATTTTATTTTCTGGTATATTTTTTATGAAAAGATACTGTATTTTTATCAGTTAATTTTGCAAGTATTGTAATACACCAGAGATATTTTAGAATATTTGTAACAGTTAAAGGGAAATATTTTTTAAAAAACAGATTGAATAGTTACAGATCACACATACAGACACACACAGAAGATATTTACACTCCAGAATTGGGAAGAATTTAAATACCTGGAGCCAGACCAATTTGATATCTCTGTAATATGCCTAGCATACCTAGCATAAATCAGAAAGGAAGGGTAGAATGAAAAAAGGCAATATTTGCAAAAATGTTCTTAAAATGAACATGTGTTGTCACCACCACTATCATCAACACAGCAGCAATTTCACCAGGGTTTTTTGGAATCTTTATATTTTATTTTTGCTAATTTTGCTTTGAACCTATGGATTTCCTATTCACTAAAAAGGCAGGAAATGGAAATGGAAAGAAGAATGGAAATACTAGTAAGAGAATGGTGTCCAGACTTTTGAATTCTGTTTTTCCAGGCTTACAGGAAAAAAGCCAACTTTTCAAAAGTGGAAACATTCTGGATGATAAAAAATACTAAATTAACCAAAAGAGGGAGGGAAAAAAGAAGAAATATTGTTTTCATGAAACCAATTTCTTGAACACTTTCCGTATAAAATGTCAATCTCTTGAGATCAATTCAAGTTAAAACAAAACGAAACAAAAGACTTTGGATAGACTCCTTCGTGGGAGGATTGGCTTGAAAGAAAGCAGCTGCGAATATGCTTCTTCGCCAATAGAGCTCACTTTATTATTTGCAACCCCGCATTTCTGAAATCAAAACCAAAAGAGTGATTTAAAATGTCTCGCGTTTGGGAAATTTTGCTGGATTATGAAAGGGAAGCCCTAGAGAAGAAACGAAATGAAAACAGTAGCTCTCTGACAAAACATATTGTTATACTCTCGCACACAGGCGGGCGCGTACACACAAATAAATCATATTGCGTCTTTGTTAAGTCACGGGTATTTTCCATAGCCTGGCAAAATTTTTGGGAGGAATTCAAGTCGCAACGGTGGGCCAAAATAATGCCCGACACCCGAGAGAGGAACAGAAGGACGAAGAACCGGCGCCGAAAGGGGTGTGTTTGTGTCGAGAAATGGAAACTCAAGATGGCGCAGGGATCTCAGCCTGCGCGCACGGGAGTGTTCGGGGGGGGGGGGGGGGTGTTGCTGCAGACCCAGGCAGCCATTATAGATGGCAGAAATTGTTCTCTTGCTATGGGGGGAGCGTGGGCAGACAGGAATGTAGGCCGTCGATGAGCAGGCTGTGAGCTTCTGACATCTCAAATTCTCCGTTCGTCAGATTGTCGCTCAAAAAGATTCGACAATTATGCAATGAGCTTAGGTACGTTTCTTTGTTAACTGCATTTTAAGAATAACGGATACACATTTCCCTTTTCATGAAAATAGACATATTTCGTCTCCCTTCTTGCATAATAATAATAATAATAATAATAATAATAATAACAATAATAATAATAATAATAATAATAATAATAATAATAATAATAACAACAACAACAATAATAATCCCCCTTAGAAAGCCTAATTAAAGAGGTCCATATCTATCGGAGGAAAGAACAAACCCTGAAATGTACACTCTCTAAAGCCCTCTTCTTGTATTTTGATAATATTATGTTTTAAAATTTATGTTCCAGCAAATTTTCTGCTCTGGGCAATACAATAAACTACCTTGCACTGAATATTAGTAAGCAACAGGATAAATTAATATCCATTTTTCTATTCTGAAGAAGTAAAAAATAAATTCTGTAGCTGGGCAGAAGTAATCAGTGAGGAAGGAAAAATTGTTTATTTTACACTTCCCAGATAAAGAGCAGTTTATTAAAACTAACCTTTTCAAAAAACAGAGACAAACACACACAGACCATCTTGCTTTGGTTGGTGTCTTTATTTCATTTTGTAGAACTGTAGATTTAAAGATGACAGCTTTGTATTTGACCCTGCGAGGGATGATCTTTTCTATGGAAACAGTCCCTGATTTTCGCCTGCTCTAGGAAAATTCTCTGCTTCGCAGCTGAGTAGAACAAACAAGAATCTCATTTAGTGTGGACAAATCTGGCATACCTGCAGCAGCCTTTGGCCCCCAAACTAATTCTTGGTAACACAATAGATTATGAGGTCTTCTTTTCAAATACCATTATTCGTTAGCACCTTAGAAGCATCAGTAATGGGGTATGTGAATATCTGAACATTTATACCAATTTCACAAATCTTGCCAATCAAGTTATTTATTTGAATTCAAATAAATCAGAATTCAAGCATTTTCCATGGAGGCTTACTTGCATTTTAAACAGTTGAGTCAGTCCAAATAGAATCAATTTAATTCAACAGTTTGACCCAATACTTTGGGAACATCTAAATCAATTCAGACTGATTTTCCAAATACATTTTGTAAGTTTGCAAAATATTCAATTCAAATATCTCTCATAAACTACATATTGTCCTATTTTTTATTATATATATTATATATATTATTCCTTCTTTCCTTCAGCCCTCTTATGACCATAATCTTGGCCCTTCTCCCTTTTGGATTCATTTCCTATGGAACTGAATAGTAAACTGAGCATAATAGAAGGTTTCATACTTAGGGGTTGTGCAGTAAAGGGTTACCAAAGTTGCTATGAAAGTATTACTGCAGCATAAAGGGTAATTTATGAAATATGCATGGATGAATCATTTGAACAGTTAATTCATGTACCCTTTTGTCTTGGCATCATTCTTTCACTCTTTGGAGACTGGCTGCTGACATGTCACTCAGAAGCTAAATATGGCTCCCATTTAAAAAAAGATTGTATATTTTGGTCTTATACAGATAAGCATGGGGTATATAAACTACTGTTTCCTACTTATTCCTAAGTGTATGAGTACAACTGGGATGTTTATGGGAGAATATACAAGGATATATGACTTATAACTGACCCTCATACTTACAACTGCTGAAGCATCCCCACAGTCACACAATCAAAATTCAGGCGCTTGGCAACGGTTGTGTACGTAGGATAATTGCAGCATTCTGGAGTCATGTGACCATCATTTGTGACCTCAGCTGGCTTTTGGAAGCAAAGTCACTGGGGGAAGCTGGATTTGCTTAACAACTGCATGATTCACTTAGCAACTGAAGTGATTTGCATGAGAACTGTGGCAAAAAGGTCATACAATTGGATGAAATCTACTTAACAATCAGTTTGCTTAGCAACAAAATTCAGTTGTGATCATAAGTTGAGGACTACTAATATTGCTTAATTATTTGCATCTTCCATCTTATTTCTCTATTTGACTACTTTTTATAAAGGGAAATTAACAGTTGCATCAGTATTTATTGCAATTTATTCAGATAACTCAATTAATTCTCCCTATATTCTCTTAACACCAATTCTATGCAGTTAAATAAGAGGCCTAAACTTGCCTGGCTGAAAGTCACCTTCAAGCTTTAGTTGTCACACTCTCTCAGAAGTTTGCTTTAAGTCCAACTGTATATTAATGCATACAGAGTTTTTGTTTTTGTTTTTTAAAAAAGCCCTTTCCAGATATAGTATTAAACTATAAAGTTTACAATGCCAAAGCTGGGTGCTTGATCTAGGACAGTGATGGGAAATCTTTTGGGCTCAGTGTGTCAACAATTCAGCAACTGCCTAATCTGACTCTGCTGGCATGTCACCCCTACTCCTGAACAAAGAGAAACAATTCTATATCTATATCACCCTATCATTGAACAATGGCATTCAATGTTCTCTGCCATTTTGAGACAAGAATCATATGCAGTGTAACTCTTAAATAATTTCTTTAAAAAAACCATTAAAAAAAAAGAAAATCCCCCAAGAAATTTCAAAAAGAGTGGAAGGAACCTTTAAAGTTTGGGAAAGGGAAATAAAGGTCTATACATTTACCTTGAGTGTTCAACTGCGACTTCCTCTGTAAGGCCATTACATTAAAGCTTGGTCAGTGCTAAATTTAATATTACAAAGCATGATTTATTTAATTTGCTTTAAATGTATGTCTAATCCAAAGAGTTTCTTAGATGCTATTTCAATTGCACCTCATCTTATGCATTTCAATTTTGCATATAGAAAAAGATATATTATTTGTTCTTCTGCCTTGAACAGCAGCATCCTTTGGAGCTCCAGACATATTGCACTAGATATTCTGGTAACCATCCGTAGATATTCAGAGTGCACATATACTTCATAAATGAACTCCTATCCATATTTACTTCAGAATAAATTGAATTTCTCTTAAATCCACTAAATTAAATGGATTGTAATCCTGAATCTGTATCCATAGGATTGCATTTTTCATTATTGTAAAAACAACATTCAGTGTGCAGTTCACATAACTTGGAAATATACTGCTTTTGGTGACAGGAGTATAGCTAAACTTGCCTTTCATATGTACATAATTTTGATTAGTTTTTATATAGCCAATAATGACAGCTGATAGTTCAGGGCTGAACCTAGCATCGACAATGTTCAAGCCAATCTTTTGATCAGTTTGGCTCAGGCTGATTCCTGACAAATATAGATAAGAAATCAGTAATGTCCCTTCTCTTTTGGTTCAGTCTGCAGCAATTAGGAAGAAAACTATATTACAACTTCTTAGGAGACAGAACAAGATTTTGGTGAGAGAAAATTGTTGGAACAATCCTAAAGAAGCATACATTTCTAACCAAGACAAAAACATGGTTACATATTTAGCAGTAATTTTAGACTGGATCTCATACCAATGGGAAACCAATTAAATATTCAATGCTGCTTGGCACTGAACACCATTTTCTTTTGGAAAAGAAACCTTAAAAAAAAGAACTGTAACTATATTCAC